GCGAGCGCGTATTTGTTTGAAGCTTACTGGGCGTAGGAAAGACACCGTAAGAAAGCCTCTTAGGGTTCTACTTAATGATAATAAGGCGAAAAATATATTTCAGGAACAACTAGAAAGACAGTTAGGCGACCAATTAAGCGATTCCCATCCGGAAGCAGGATGGAATGATATCAAAAAGGCTGTGGAAACAGCAGTGAAATCTGCTAGTAAGGTTGACCATAAGGCTAGAATGAAACCGTGGATCTCAGTAGCATCCACCAAACTGATGGATGCCCGAAAACTCATCCCACCTGGCTCTGAACATGATGAAGAACGAATTCAACTTAGGCGCAGACTTATAAAAAGCCTACGTAACGATCGCGAACAGTGGTGGGTGGCGAAAGCAAAAGCGATGGAAAAGGCGGTGGCGATAGGCAACAGTAGACAACTTTTCCGACTTATCAAGGAAACTGGTATTAGGAATCCTAGTGTAAGCGAGACTATCTCAGAAAATGACGGGACTATTATTTATTCTCAATCCAGGAGACTGGATCGATGGGCAGAACACTTTAGGGATCAGTTCAACTGGCCTCGAGCCACTCTTCGGTTACCCACGATCTCCAGTCATCCTGAATGGCAAATCGACGTAAGTCCCCCTAGTCTTAATGAAGTTGAAAAAGCTTTAGGAAATCTGAAGCGAGGACGAGCTGCAGGTCCTGATAGACTGACCCCTGAGATATTTAAGGATGGTGGTCCAGTTTTAGCAGCTAGGTTGACTGAGATCTTAGGTAGAATCTGGGAACTGGACGTAATCCCATCCGACTGGTCTCAATCACTGATTGTCCCAATCTATAAGAAAGGACAGAAGTCTTCTTGTGACAATCACAGAGGAATAAGTCTAACTAATATAGTATCTAAAATATTGGCCTCAATAATACTTCGACGCTTAACGAAAGCTCGTGAAGAGCAAACTCGAGAAAACCAGGCTGGTTTTCGACCTGGACGTGGCTGTATAGACCACATTTTCACACTACGACAGGTCTTGGAACACAGACACACATTTAGGCGTCCTACAATAGTTGTTTTCCTGGACCTTAAGGCGGCATTTGACTCAGTGGATCGTAAGGTTCTGTGGCAGTGTCTGTCATTGAAAGGTGTACCAAATAAGTACATTAACCTCATACAAGCTCTCTACTCAAACACCACTGGTCGAGTGAGAGCTTATGGCGAACTGTCACCGGAATTCTCTACTTCAAGTGGTGTCCGTCAGGGATGTCCACTCTCTCCATTCTTGTTTAATTTTATCATAGACATGCTCCTAGAAATAACCTTATCCTCATCTGAATTTTCTGGAGTAGACCTTCTACCAGGTGGCTCGCTTATTGACTTAGAATATGCCGATGACATAGTCCTACTTGGTGAAGACGCTGACAAAATGCAGAGTCTTCTGACTACCCTAAGCAACAATGCAAGCATGTTCGGGATGCGGTTTTCCCCCTCGAAATGCAAAATGTTGCTTCAAGATTGGGTTGCAACGGCACCTGAACTAGTGATAGGGAGTGAAGTAGTCGAGCGTGTCAACCGCTTCACTTATCTGGGGAGTCTCATCAGTGCTGATGGCCTGGTGACTGACGAAATCTCGGCACGGATACAGAAGGCTCGATTGGCTTTTGCCAACCTGCGTCACTTATGGCGTAGGCGAGATATCCGTCTGCTGACTAAAGGACGAGTGTACTGCGCAGTGGTTCGCTCCGTCTTACTTTATGGCTGTGAAACATGGCCAATCAGAGTAGAAGATACTCGTCGGTTATTGGTTTTCGATCATAGATGTCTTCGAAGCATTGCTCGTATATCGTGGGACAACCGAGTGAGCAACGCTGTTATTAGGAAACGGGTACTAGGTAAGAATGGCAGACCAATCGATGAAGTGGTGAAACTTCATCAGTTGAGGTGGTTGGGACACGTGTTGCGTATGCCTAATCACCGACTGCCTCGTCGAGCTTTGTTTTGTAGTGTAGGAATAGGTTGGAAGAAAGCTAGGGGCGGCCAGACCAAAACATGGCAGAAATCCGTGAAGTCATTGACTAGTGGACTTAGCCATGTCGGTAATTGTCGACTACCTGGTTGGGGTCCGCGAGATGATAATAATCGATGGCTAGAGACCTTGAATGACATGGCTCAAAATCGTTCGCAATGGCGCCAGTGCATTTATTCTTTGTGTTCTCTCAAATCCTAATCTTCTGCATTCTTCAACACCTCTAGTTTTTACTTTCTAAACTTATCTCATTTAATCATACTTCATGAATAATATCTTCTAATCCTAACCTCTCCGATTACTTCTAATACCTTTACTACCTCTTCTACTATTGGATTTGAATTGACAATTATATCTCTGTGTTGATGTGGTATGGCGACATGAACTGATGTACTTACGTACGAAGTTCTACGTTGCATCTGACTGACTCTGACTGACCGTTACACATAGTCTTTCCGAAAATATGGGATCGTCTCCGACTTCTGCCACTTCCAACCTCGACGTTGTACAGGATGTGGATACGCGATCACTTCGTCATGTTCAGAGGATTCTATGGTAAATGGCACTCTTTCACATCACCACTTACCTGAATTATTCATCATTTTAAATTACATGCTATCTTCTTTACCTGTAATGCTCTGTCGATTGACCAATCCTTCGTCCATTACTGATATGTTCGACCCATTTTCCAGTAGTGAATACGCCCTGCAATCTGAAGGTTATTTATTTCTAACTGGTATAACACCTAATTAAATCCTCTCAACATCCGGTTTTAAACTAATACAAGGAACAAGACAATGTGGCTGCCACGGAAACTAAGTATCAGCTTAAGCTACATAAATGCAGTTCATAAAGAAACATAGAAACTCGGTGAAGGCGAAAAATATGCACCATAATAAGATACAAATATTATCATCTCAAATGGAATCGAACAGACTAACATAATGTACAACTGAAGGAATCAATAAGAACAAATTACAAATGTATTCATGGAGGGCTTTTCACAAACAAAACCATCAAAAATGGATCTTACAGAACTGCTAACTTGCACTTTACTATCTTATTCGTTTCGGCCCTCCAAAAGACGGATGGATGTCTCCCATATAATCTGCATTGTCTAAGACTGTATTCACCCCTATGGTAGCGCTGATGTTCATCCAGTATCTTTGTATTCGTGTCAGGATACGATTGATTGCTACCTCTATTAGCGACCTCTAGTTCAGTGCCTGCCTCAAACTCATCGACAAAAAGCGAATGTTCGCCAGTTCGTGGTTTGTAGTTCGGTTACTATACCATATCACCTTCTTTGTACATTAGATGATATTCCCGAAATTGAAAACGATAAAAATAGTTCTAGGATGACAAAGTGCAAATCGATTAGGCTGTTAAAGGCTAGAAGTTTGAAGAATTCCAACTATGTTTTGAACAATGGAAATAGAGATAGGTTAAGGTTGAGGCGAAATAAGAGCTTAATGTTCTCAAAGTGCAAATTTATAAAGTATAAAATCAAGATGTAAACGAAACATATACGGTAGCTAAAAAATAACAATGAGGGCAGTTTATCAGAATATCACAGTTAATATTCAGTATCAAGCACTATAATGAATAAAATCTACTTGCGATAAAGTAGCAAAATCAAAATATGCTTAGAGCACTGTCAATAACTTACCTGTTAAAACAAACTCGATAATCGCAATGATCATTAAATGTTACCTAGATGTTGTAGCGTTAATAATTGAGATCCCCACATCAAACTACAAAGTTTAGCAACGAGAAGAGCTTGAATTTTCAGATATCAACAAGACCTCAGTCTCCAACTTCAAGTGAGATTCAGATTTGATTATTCGAATTAATAATAATGAATGGAAATCAACGTTATTTCTGTACACTACCACACTATACACCCTGAATTTGATACTGTTTGTCTTCAACAGCTTAATTAAAGCCCGAATAAACACTGACCACATATACTGGATGACCATTCATGTCGCCTAACCAAACAAAATACCATCTTAATTTTCATAAAACCATATGCAACTTGAGGAAAGTGGATGCAGAAAGTCTTACGTAAAATAGTGGTACAAGCTATGGTTCTCATCAGAAAATAAGAAATTATGCTTACAAACGAGTCACGATTCCGTTCTAGTTATCAAAATTAGTGAAACACAACTCGAAGGCGAATAATATCGCTGTTTATTTCAGTTTCAAAAAAATGGACGTGACAAAAACATTTACGTATAAAATGAAACTCAAATGCTAAATGAAAAAAAGTAATTAAGTAGTATTTTCTAGTGAGTAACAAGTGACACTTTGTATGTGAATCGGAAATGCTATTTGGATGATATAACCTAAGTAGCTAAGATAGCACTTCAATCAACAAAATAAATTGGAAGTCACATTTTTTAAACACCGAACAATGGTTAAAAGGCTCCATTACACAGAAAAGGATTTTTATCATTGCAGTTTAAGTTACCTCAATATAAGGAATAAACACTCAAAACTGCTGACTAATATTTTCAATAAAGAAAGTGATTTTAATTCTTCCCTAAATCATTTCTTCAAGTTTTTCCTATAAAAACAAAATATACTTCATTTTACAAAATACTCATTAGCAATAATGTACATACAAGTTTTTAAAATCTGAGAAAATACTGAATACCATTACTAATGACCAAACGGTCTACAATGGAACTAGGAATTTTAGTCTCGCCCTTTTTATAACCTGAATAGATGAACATTAAGAAAAACAACTTTTGCGTATGATGAAAGTATCTTAGCTCACAGAGAGTTCTTTCCGTGCTTTTCTTCTAGAATAGTAATTATTTGTCAATCTACATTTCAACTATCATCAACCAATGGGATAATTTCAAGGTCGCTGAAATAGGAAACATTAATGATTGCAATATATATATATATATATATATATATATATATATATATATATATATATAAATTAAAAACATGGAAGAATGATATGGAAAATGATTTATTTACAAATCAGAAACTCTTCGTCATTATTACTAAACTTTCTTGAACGTTTTAATGATTTACGTTTTGATTTTTCAGCAGCAAATGTGCTACAATCAGATTTACTAACAGATGTTATGGTCACATTATTATCAATATTGTTAACGAGTATTTGACAATTTTCTTCATTACGATCAGTTACACTTGCTTTAATATAATTATTATTATTTGAAATTTGCGCTGGACTTGGATCCTGTTCACTGGAATTATGCTGATCTGCTGAAAATAAAGATATAAGAAAAAAGGATAAATCTTGTTTATTGCACAGTTTTCAACTTACGAATTTCTACATAGTCACAAGAAACAATCGGAATACTCTGATGGAGGAAACAGAAACAATGAGAACAATAAAAATCCATAAATATTTAGAAATCAAGCACAATCAAAAGTGATGGACCTTGTTCTCAACATAGAAATATTTTTGCTTTACTTAATTTGTCGTAAAAGCAGACATTTCGATAAATGATAAGCAAAGATGGATGGTGTCTGGTAATGAAATTCAGGATGCATGTTCCGGCCGATTTGCGACTCATCAGCCGGATGTACCTGCAACTCAGAGTTAATGTTCACTATCAGACTTGAACACACTACTTTTAGTCTTAAATGTCATCGAGTTATTCACTTAACTACTGAGTCCACATAGCTACTCACTTGTGAATTGAGATAGAGTTTAATTAGTATTGGCTGTGTGCATCTTCCTATTGGTGTTTAGGACTGCAATTTATGCTATGTTGTATGGCGACTTGAACTGATATACGTATGCATGAAGTTCTAAGTCGTGGTTGATTGACTGCAATTTATCAGTCTATTCATATATATATATATATATATATATATATATATATATATATACCATATAATATCAGATTCAATAAAGAATGAAAACCAAGAAGATAAGTCTAATCCGTTACCTGTACAGATAGACACTATTAAGACTATGGAATCCTGACTCCGAGAATTCGATCGAAGTGGCACTCAGTTGTGGTTTGACCTATGAGAGCATGCCTTTACGAGACAACATCAGATCTGAAAGAGTCCGATTCTGAGATGCATGTGCTACGCTTCTTTTTTGTGGTCGAAGGAGTTCACTACTACTACTACGACGTTTGGACAGAAAACGTTGATGCTAGGATTTGGAGTTTAAGAGGTGATTCCTTAGGGTGTTCATCATAGTGGATTTGGACCGTCATTTCAGTAGCATGATGGTCAGTAACTTCAAACTTGAACGAAGACTTTTGATATATCCAATTTAACAGATTCAGTCAGTCGGCAACAACGTAGAAGTTGGTACGCACGCACATCGGTTCAAGTTGCCATAGCACATTAGCACAGAGATGGAATTGTCAGTTCAAATCACACAGAAGTAGAGGTTGTAGCAGTATTGGCGGTAAAAGAAAAGATTAAGGATCGAAAATACGACTGGAGAATTACAATTATGTAGAATAAATCTAAATAGAGAAAAAGGGTCATGAGGAATCCAGAGGTGTTGGTGGGACATAGATGGAATTAAAGCATGACTACGTTGCTGTGCGCTGATTGGCTAATTTCCTATCCAATCAGCGCCTGATCGATTCTTGGAGAACAGGGAAGAAAGTTCTCGTATTGTTAGCTGCATGCTGATTGGCTGAATCTAATCCAGTCGATCACGTGAATTATTATCCAGAAGCTTCTCATGTAAATGTTATAAATAAACTAACGTTGTATCTATTTCGCCTTCGGCTTCCTATTTCCATTTAACCTTGCTATTTGGAATATAATCTTTTCCTGTTCCACCGTGTTTTGATTCTTTGTAACTTGTCCACTGTATTGTGGTCAGAGAATACTAAGCAATAGGAATTAGCTGGGAATCATTCAAGCAAGCGTTACAACAAGATGATTAGAAGACAAAGAATGGATGCACCTGCATGCCATGTCACACAAAGTCTCCAACCACTGGTTACGATTGTCTCACTGACTCCAACCAGGCAGTCTAAATCTATTAGCATGGCTTGGTGGCATCAAGTTTTCTTCCGGCCTACCCCTATATCAGACAAAATCGCTCGTTGAGGTAGCCAGTGTTTAGGCAAATGTACTGGCCGCCTTAGCTGACGAGGGTTCCCTGTGTTATCAACTGATTGGCCATTCTTAGCTAGTACCCTTTTCCTAACACCAGTATTGCTTAATCGATGGTCCCAGAATATATAAGTAATGCTTCTAATAGATTCAATGATAATCTGCTACTACTACTATTACGTCAAACTTTATCTAAGTCTTTGTTTCACAGATAGGAAGAAAGCAGAGATGAAAAAACTGATTCTCAGAATGATTAACACGATCCTCCTCTTTTAATTTAGTTGACAATATGATTATCCTTGAACTCTCATTAAAATACTTAATATCCGCAAAACGTCAACAGCTACTTAATATCTTACTAACTACTTCACATTGAACTTTTTAAGATGATAAAACAATAAAGGATAGTCAACTTAGTTTTTTTATTTAGACGATTTGCCGTGTGCAGGCTAGTGATATTATCCGGGTGCCCAAGTTGAAGTCCCGACCGTAGCTGCTACCTTGACGTGGTGGTCGGGCTTGCTATCGTGATGACCCAACCGAGCTATACTGGCTAGAACATATGTTCCTGAAGGTTCTACCATGCCAGGAAGGTCGATTGGAGAACGATGAGACTAAAAGCAGCTACCCAAGGTCTGAGGGCGAAGTCGTACTGCTGATTGCAGAGGGGTGTGACAGCAGTAAGGTGTTTCCTTCGGACAACCAACATCTGCAGCGATGCTGCCTTCTCACAAGAAGGAAGGGTTAGAAAAGGTCGACCGTAAAAATGTCACAGCTCACCCTACCTCACGGATTTCCGTCTCCTTGGGTGAGGGTGACCACTAAGGGCCTTTAAGAACGGAGCTAATCCTCTAAATACCTTTCATAAAAAGGCCGTGCGTGACCGGCCTCAAGCAGTTGTCCCTTGGGCTTTGCGGTCACGCAACAACACTAATCCATCTTCCTTTTCAGGTCCCTCAAGAAACAACCTTCCACGGTGTGGGCAGCCGGGGAGTAACAACCGCCCTCATACACGTAACAGCACGCGAGACCAAATTGGTCAAAATCAAATCCTTCCTACACCTCCTAGTGTCTCTCTTATCTCTACGACTAACTCTACTCACACTCCCTTTTCTCACTGCACCGCTAATGCAGACGAACCGAGATCAAGAGACGTCGTTCCTGGTCTCTTGAAACCCCTTTCTAAACTACATGTTGGAGCTTTTAATGTACGGACATTGTGTCAAATAGGGCAACAGGCATTATTAGCTAGGACTTTAGAATCTCGTGCCGTCGATGTGTGCTGCGTCTCGGAAACGCGCACACAGGATCCTAGTAAAGTCATTACCCTGATTCCACCTTGTCAAAACGAAGAAGCAGCCCGATTCACTCTTCGTGTATCTGGAAGCCCTGATGCTGCTACCAGGGGTCTTGCTGGCGTAGGCATAGCGTTGAGTCCTAGGGCAGAATTATCTCTCCTAGGCTGGATCCCAGTAGATAGTCGTTTGTGCGCTGTCCGACTAAACGGGACAGTAAGGACTCGGAAGGATAGGGACACTCGCCGTTGCCTCTTCATCGTATCTGCCTATGCCCCCACTGACTGCAGTGCAGACGAGGTTAAAGACGAGTTTTACAGAAAGCTTTCGGACCTCCTCCAAAAAGCTAGGCGCTTTGATGTAGTAATAATGGCTGGTGACTTTATTGCTCAAGTAGGTAGACTAGGTGAAAAGGAAAGACATCTAGGTGGATGTTATGGTGTAGCGACTGAGAGAACAGACAATGGCGACCGTCTGTTGCAACTATGCTCAGAAAACCGCCTATTCTTAGCGAACACCAACTTTAGGCAAAAGGAAAAGCATCTGTTGACCTGGCGACCCCCGAAGTCGTCTCAACGTTGGACTCAACTAGATCACATCGCCATCAGCCACCGATGGAAGGGTTCGATAGAAGACTGTCGCTCGTTCTGGGGCACATGTTTAGATTCAGATCATGCTCTAGTGCGAGCTCGTATCTGTTTGAGGCTTACTGGACGTAGGAAAGACACCGTAAGAAAGCCTCTTAGGGTTTTACTTAATGATAATCAAACTAAGAAAATATTTCAGGAGCAACTAGAAAGAGAGTTAAGCAACTATGTAAGTGATTCCCATCCAGAAGCAGGTTGGTATGATATCAAAAGGGCTGTGGAAACAGCAGTGATATCTGCTAGTAAGGTAAACCGTTAAGGCTAGGATGAAGCCGTGGATATCAGTCGCATCCACCAAACTGATGGATGCTCGAAAACGCAAATCACCTGACTCTGAGCATGATGAAGAGCGTAGTCAGCTTAGGCACAGACTTATAAAAAGTCTACGTAACGACCGCGAACAGTGGTGGGTGGCGAAAGCAAAAGAGATGGAAAAGGCAGCGGCGATAGGCAGCACTAGACAACTTTTCCGCCTTATTAAAGAAACCGGTATTAGGAACCCGAATGTGAGTGAGACTATCTCGGAAAAGGATGGGATTATTATCCATTCTCAATCCAGGAGACTGGATCGATGGGCAGAACACTTTAGGGATCAGTTCAACTGGCCACGAGCCACTCTTCGGTTACCCACGATCTCCAGTCATCCTGAATGGCAAATCGACCTAAGTCCCCCTAGTCTTAATGACGCTGAAAAAGCGTTAGGAAATCTGAAAGGAGGACGAGCTGCAGGTCCTGATAGACTGACCCCTGAGATATTTAAGGATGGTGGTCCAGCTTTATCAGCTAGGTTGACTGAGATCTTAGGTAGAATCTGGGAACTGGACGCAATCTCATACGACTGGTCTCAATCCTTGATTGTCCCAATCTATAAAAAAGAACAGAAGTCTTCTTGTGACAATCACAGGGGAATAAGTCTAACTAATATAGTATCTAAAATATTGGCATCAGTAATACTTCGACGCTTAACGAAAGCTCGTGAAAAGCAGACTCGAGAAAACCAGTCTGGTTTTCGACCTGGACGTGGTTGTATAGACCACATCTTCACACTCAGACAGGTCCTGGAACATAGACACACATTTAGGCGTCCCACAATAGTTGTTTTCCTGGACCTTAAGGCGGCATTTGACTCTGTGGATCGTGAGGTTCTGTGGCAGTGTCTGTCATTGAAAGGTGTACCAAAGAAGTACATTAACCTTATACAAGCTCTCTACTCGAACACCACTGGTTGAGTGAGAGGATATGGCGAACTGTCATCTGAATTCTCTACTTCAAGTGGTGTCCGTCAGGGTTGTCCACTCTCTCCATTCTTGTTTAACTTTGTCGTTGGCATCCTCTTAGAGTTAACATTAATCTCGTCATATTTTTCAGGGGTTGATCTTCTACCAGGTGGCTCGCTTATTGACTTAGAATATGCCGATGACATAGTCATATTTGGTGAGGACGCTGACGAAATGCAGAGTCTTCTGACTACCCTAAGCAACAATGCAAGCATGTTCGGAATGCGGTTTTCCCCCTCGAAATGCAAAATGTTGCTTCAAGACTGGGTTGCATCGGCACCTGAACTGGTGATAGGGAGTGAAGTAGTCGAGCGTGTAGACCGCTTCACTTATCTGGGGAGTCTCATCAGTGCCGATGGCCTGGTGACTGACGAAATCTCAGCTCGGATACAGAAGGCTCGATTGGCTTTTGCCAACCTGCGTCACTTATGGCGTAGGCGTGATATCCGTTCTCTAATCAAAGGACGAGTGTACTGTGCAGCAGTTCGCTCCATTCTCCTATATGGCTGTGAAACATGACCAGTGAGAGTAGAAGATATTCGTAGGTTACTGGTTTTCGATCATAGGTGTCTTTGAAGCATTGCTCGTATACCGTGGGACGGCCGAGTAAGCAATGCTGTCGTTAGGAAACGAGTACTAGGTAAGGATGGCAGATCAATAGATGAAGTACTGAAACTTCATCAGTTGAGGTGGTTGGGACATGTCTTGCGTATGCCGAACCACCGACTGCCTCGTCGAGCCTTGTTTTGTAGCGTAGGAATATGTTGGAAGAAAGTTAGGGGCGGCCAAACCAAAACATGGCAGAAATCCATGAAGTCATTGACTAGTGGACTTAGCCATGTCGGTAATTGTCGACTACCTGGTTGGGGTCCGCGAGATGATAATAATCGATGGTTAGAGACCTTGAATGACATGGCTCAAAATCGTTCGCAATGACGCCGGTGCATTTATTCTTTGTGTTCTCTCAAATCCTACTCTTCTGGATTCTTCAACACCTCTAGTTTCGACTCTCTAAACTTTTCTCACTGAATCATACTTCTTGAATAGTATCTTCTAACCCTAGCCTCTCCGATTACTTTTAATTCCCTTACTACCTCTACTACTATTGGATTTGAATTGACAATTGTATCTCGGTGCTGATGTAGTATGGCAACATGAACTGATGTACTTACGTACGAAGTTCTACATTGCATCTGACTGACTGACCAAGTTGAAGTGGGCAAAATGTGGCCGAATCTACAATCTATTGAGTCATTCATAGTCCATGCGAGTTATATAAAGAGTTGAAGTAGTCGTAGTGATTTTGATTGTAAAATAGACATGAAAGGCATATTTCCAAGACAAGGAATAAAAGGTATGAAATGATGGTGAAGCGTGAGGAGAAGATGAAAAATCAATAAGACTGAACTGATGTGACCAGTTTTGAGCCGAATCTACTAACGTTTTTAACCATCGCCAAAGATTATTGTGCCTATCCAGCCAACCGGGTTCAGACCAATAGCCAGTGATTTCATGAATTATTATTATATGTTAGTTTTCCACTAAACCACCCCTACTTCAAACAGTATTCGGCTCCGTAGTATACTTGCACTTGGTATCCGAAGGGATTTCCAGCTTACACCACAGGAAAGGGAATTTCAAAAAACCTAAGCAAGGATTCCGAATCCTAGCTGGAAGTTCGCCAGGGTTGATAAGACTCACGAAATAAATGAAGTCATCAATTTGTCTAACTAATTTACTTCATATGATCGGATGAAGCGTAATATTTTAGCCAAGCATACCTCGAATTCGGTCCTGAATTGACAACTCTCTTAAGGTGGTACCATTAAATGGAGGTGAAATACTATTAAGTGATTGATGTAATTTCTTCAATAAAGAAAACAATTCGTTTTGAACCAGCATATGACGGGCTCCTGATGACTTTAACATCACATTCAACAAGAAAACAATGAGTTCCGTTTCCACTATCGAATTTAGATAAATGGTATGATCACTCGTAGATTTCATAGAAGATATAAGATCTGTTGCTGTATTGGAAAATTCTTTGGTGAGCTGTTTGAATAATACGGGCTGTTTCGCTAATTTCTCCACCATCCTAAAAGTTTTCTTACGATTTTCTTTTATTTTGGCTAAAAACAACTTACATCATTAGTTAAAATAGATTTATTTACTTACTTTCGAACCACTTTTCACAGGTTGTTTCATAGTCATTGTACAAGTAAGTTGGTAAGAAAACGTTTTGATCAGCGAGAATAAGTCGAATGACGACTACACTACCAAACTGACTAAACGGAAATAATTAAATTCATTTATTAACTATGCGGAAAGTTAATAAACAATAAGCTACCATAGCATATAGCTTAAATTCTTGTTTCTATAAATACACGAACTTTAGTATAGGATAAATGTTTGACTTTTATTGTTGTAACCACTAAACCAGTGATACCAATTTATGTGATATATAAGATTTACGCCAGCCGCTTGAACATTAAATCAATCTTCTTGAACTAAATTTCCAATTCGGAACTTTGTTTGCCCTTTCTTTTTTCAAAGAGATGCGCATGCCATATGTATGCACTGAAACACCTGAACTTTTTTGCACCCGAGACTAACGACTCCACAATTGTGACCGTCTATTGACACCTTGTTCCGAAAACCGCTTATTCACAGCAAGTAAGAAAATTCAGCATACCGAGAAACAATTCAACTTGAAGACCCTCAACATCAACATAATGATGGATATAAATAGATCATACTGCCATTAGTCATCGTTAGAGAGGTTCGATGGGGAACAGGAGAAATTCGGAAAAAAGTCAGGTAAGTACCTGGTCCATCGAAGAGAAATAGTTCATATCTACGAAGCTTGGAAAGATATTCAGACAGCCGTAAAGATAACGATGACATCTATTAACAACTTAGACCAAAAGATTATTTAAGACCAATGGATTTTGGTGACATCCTACAAAACTGTTAGGAGCTAAAAAACTCATCTACGAAAGGTCCAAGAGAAAAAACTTAAAAGTACACTAGGCAAACGTTTACTCAATCATTGTGAGCAGTGCTGGGTGATGAAGGAAAAGTTCAGTTAGTCAGTCAGTTACACCGTAGTACTTCGTACCCACGAGCATCAGTTCAAGTTGCCATACCACATTAGCACATGATGTTACTGTCATTTCAAATCCCATAGTAACAGAGGTATTAGAAGCGTTACCAGTAATTGGAGAGATTAGCGTTCGAAGATATCATTTAAAAAGTATAATCTAGTGAAATAAAATTAAACGAGGAGCTCTGAAGGTTGGGATTTGATAGAACATAAAGAATGAATGCACCTGCGACATAGCAAACGGTTTTAAGCCATGTCATTCAGGGTCTCTAACCATCGATTACTATCATCTCGCGGGCCCCAACCAGGTAGTCGACACCTACCGACATGTCTCAGTCCACTTGTCAATGTTTTGGTCTGGCCGCCCCTAGCTTTCTTCTAACCTACTCCCACAACACGGCATCACCGCTCTTCGAGGCAGTAGGTGGTTGGGCATACGTAACACGTGTACCAACTGCCTCAACTAATGAAGTTTCAACACGTCATCTATTGATCAGCCACCCTTACCTAGCACCCGTTTCTTAACAGCATTGCTTACTCTTATGTCCCAATGTACACGAGCAGTGCTTCTGAGACACCTATGATCGAGAACAAGCAACCTACGAATATCTTCTACTCCTACTGGTCATGTTTCACAGCAATGCAGTTGGACGGATCAAACAACTGTGCAGTGCACTTGTTCTTTAGTCAGAAAACGGAAATCTCGCCTGCACTATAGGTGACGCAGGTTGGCAAAAGCCAATCGAGCCTTCAGTATCCGAGCTGAGTTTTCGTCAGTCACCAGGCAATCAGCACTGATGAGACTCCCAAGATAAGTGACGCGGTCGACTCGCCCGACTACTTCACTCCTTATCACTAGTTCAGGTGCCGATGCAACCCAATCTTGGAACAAGATTTTGCATTTCGAGGATGAGAACCGCATCTCGAACATGCTTGCATTGTTGCTTAGGGTAGTCAAAAGACTGCATTTTATCAGCGACTTCACCAAATAGGACTATGTCATCAGCATACTCTAAGTCACTCCTGAAAGTTCAGACGATGTTATATCTAGAAGTATGTCTATGACGAAATTAAACAAGAATGGAGAGAGTGGACATCCCTGACGGACACCGCTTGAAGTAAAGAATTCCGATGACGGTTCGCCATAAGCCCTCACTGCACTAGTAGTGTTCGAGTAGAGAGCTTGTATAAGGTTCACCTTTTAATGACAGAGACTGCCACAGAACCTCACGATCAACGGAGTTGAATGCCGCTTTAAGGTCAAGAAATACTACTATTGTTGGGCTTATGAACGTGTCTCTTTGTTCTACAATCTGACGAAGTGTGAATATGTGATCTACGCAGCCAGGTCTGAAACCAGCCTGGTTTTCTCTAGTCCGCTCTTCACGAACTCTAGTTGGGCGTTTAAGGATAATCGAGGCTAACAATTTAGAAACTATATTAGTTAGACTTATTCCCGTGACTGTCACAAGATAACTTTTGTCCTTTCTTATAAATTGGGACAATCAGTGATTGAGGCCTGTCAGATGGGATTACGCCCAATTCCCAGATTCTACCGAAGATCTCGGTCAATTTAACTGCTAAAACTGGCAAGTCGGACGACTTGCATCGATTTACCATTCAGGTTGCCTTTCCCATCTCCCTTGCTTTCGCTACTCACCACTTTTCTCGATCATTGGGAAGGCTTTTCATCAGCCTGAACCTGAAATGACTCCGCTCCTCATCGTACTCAGAGCCACGCGGGATGAGCATCCATCAATTCGGTAGATGCTACTGAAATCTACGGCTTCTCCACAACCTTATGGTTTACCTTACTAGCAGATATCACTGACCGACCGTAGCTGCTACCTTGACGTGGTGGTCGGGCTTGACTATCGTCATGACCTAACTGAGCTAATCTGGCTGGAACATACGTTCCTGAAGGTTCTACCATGCCAGAAAGGTCGATTGGAGAACAATGAGACTAAAAGCAGCTACTCAAGGTCTGAGGGCGAAGTTATACTGCTGACTGTAGAGTGGTGTGACAGCAGTAGGGTGTTTTCTTCGGACAACCAGCATCTGCAGCGATGCTGCCTTCTCACAAGGAAGGAAGGGTTAGAAAATATCGACCCAAAAAATGTCACACCTCCCCTACCTCACGGATTTCCGTCTCCTTGGGTAAGGGTGCCCACCAAGGGCCTTTAAGAACGGAGCTAACACTCATAAAAAGGCCGTGCGTGACCAGCCTCAAGCAGTTGTCCCTTGGACTCTGCGGTCACGCTCCCAGGTCTCCAAGACCAACACTAATCTATATTTCTTCTCAGGTCCCTCAAGAAACAACCTTCCACGGTGTGGGCAGCCGGGAAGTGACAACCGCTCTCATACCCGTAACAACACACGAGACCGAATTGTTCAAAATCAAATCCTTTCTACACCCACTAATACCTCTCTTATCTCTACGACTAACTCTTCTCACAATCCTTTATCACAGTGCACAGCTAATGCAAACAATGCGGTAGTCTTCAACAGAACCTTTCCACCGATGGCTCATAGCGATGTTATTTAGTTGGGTCCAGCGTTGGGTAAATAGTTGAAATTACCCCCAAAATCTTTCCACTTAGGAGAAATGTCTGGAAATTTACACTCCCTTGTTACCCCCCAAAATATCTACTTTTCAACTAAACTAACACCAAATAGTCTGTTTTTCTCCTAACCCTGTAAGATTAGGATAAAGCAGCTCACAAAAAATTTGTCGATTCTTTGGCACACAAATACGTGAATGGCCCTTCGTACTGATAATCATATGCTTAAGTTAAAACTAATAGATTGTTCTATTTTTCGACATTGTAATAGGAAAATGAAAACTATCAAGCACCGACATTTTATGCCGACTACTTTTCAGCCAGGAGAAATGGCTTTTACAAAAGGTAAAAAATAAAAAATGTGGACATAAAAAACGACTAATTGGTAGGAAGATATGAGGATGGTTTCGGAATAAGCCAGAACGACAGGTATTCCCTTAGTTGTTAATTTTATGGACAGATTCAAAACGCAAAAATTAACCATTCAATGAAATGTGAAGTAAAACTAAACATGAGTTGGAGAATCGACCAAATAACAGGAACCTCGCAAACCTCACGTACCAGAAATGACCTACAGATTAATCTACGACACTGAGAAATGTCCAATATATTCTAAAGTGGATAAAGCAAAGGAATATAACAAAAGTTTATAAGATTGATACCTGAATATTAAAACCTTTCGCTTATCGGACTCCTTAATTTAAGTAAATTCACTAATCGATACCTCTAAATATGGACTTCGATAACTTTGACAGGCAAACGGAAAATATTTTTAAATTGTTAGAAAATGTTAGGCCGAGTCCTCAAAAACTGACATGTGCCATCTAGTAAATTTGATACTACAGTTCATGATACGTCATTACGGTGCTGAGCATTTCTTCATGAAGTTAAGTTAAAGTCTTCGTCGATTTAATTTGAATACGGTGGTCAGACTTTCTGTAGCACCTACTTAGTCGGGGCATTCAGGATATAACGGCTATGAAAACTCCGATCTTGATCCGTTAAAAGAAGGCTGCATGACGAAGTAAGCTTTATGGGTTTCAGAACGATTTATTGATTAATTTTTCTAGTACTGAAGCCTATCTGCATTTAAGGCCTTTAAACATTGTCTACTTGTTTAACGAAACTGACTACATGTGTTGTTATCATTCGTTCGTCTGTAATAAACTCAGTAGTTTCTTTTAAATCCAAACATTCAAAAATTGCTTCTCCTAATGAATTTATCATCCTAGTAACGATTGGGGACTGTCGCTTTAGCAAACTGGTTTGTAGAATGCATGACCATGGACAACGAGCAATCCAAGTTAGTATCCATAACGTTTTCATGGTCAGGTTCCGAGCTCTCCTACTGTAGATTGTCCTTTAGAGCTGACAGATCCAGGTGGTTGAAATTCTAATACCTGGTATCAGTGGGATGTTCGAGCCGAGGTTCGCTAACAAAATTGAAGACTGAGGGAGTGGTCAACTTTACCCTTGGAAGCCAGTAGTGGGCGGTGATCGATAAGTGTTTAAGTATGATAAACTCTTGAGTGCATATTCGATGAGTC